CTGAGCTTCAGACCATTTTTGGCTCTCTCCTCTTTTACCCCCATTAAGTGGTTCTTCAGTTCCTCCTCACTTTCTGCCATCAGAGTGGTATCATCTGCATATCTAAGGTTGTTGATATTTCTTCCGTCAATCTTGATTCTGGCTTGGGATTCATTCAGTCCAGCCTTTTGCATGATGTATTCTGCATATAAGATAAATAAGCAGGGAAACAATATACAGCCTTGTCATACTCCTTTCCCAATTTTGAACCAATCACATGATGGCACATAACAAATAAACAAGAGACAGCCTAAGAAGAGAATTAATGGTAAATTGGGAAATGAATTTACCATTTACCATGAATTTACCAGCAAGACCAGTTTTTAAAAGTGTTATACAATAAAGGAGTTATAATTCTTTTTAGAACAGAGATTATAACTATTAAAATTCAAATAAAGAGGGTTATTTCCAATAATTTTACAGTGAAGAATGTACCTGTGACAGTTATATTTGTTAATTGTTCTCTTACAGGCTAAAATCTTAGAATTGTCTGTATTAATTCTTATTCTAGATGAGTGACTAAGTTTTTCCATGAGTCTCAGCGGCTGAAGTCCTCTTGCTTAGTATAGTAAGTTCCAGTTGAGTAACCCACTGAGTCAATGGGAATTTGGTGAGTCAGCCCATCCATAAGTTGTGCTGATTCAAATGAGCCCATTCTAGCTGCAGTTTACTTTATTGTAGGAAGCTACAACTGGACTGGGCCCATTTGAATCAGTGAAACTTACAGAACAGTTGGCTCTCCATATTTCCACTGATTCAGTAGACCTGTTCTATTCTATTCTAGTTTGACTTACTACATTAATAATAGCATGGCTGGAATCCAGAAAACTACTGTAGATGTTTAGAAGAGCATGCCTATTCCTTATGGGCCTTTCAACAGCAATCCCAATACATCATTACAGATATCATGAGATGATGGCTGTTGTCACATTCTGACCTCCCAGAGTTCTCTAGGCCAGCGTTTTCCAATCCTGCAGACCGGTTGGAGAAGGCGGGGCACCCACCATGCTCGTGCGCATGCGCGAAGGAGCGGGCACACTCTCATGCGTGAAGGAGTAGGAGGGCGGGCACACAGGCATTCGTGCGCATACGCAAAGGAGCAGGAGGGCACTCGTGTGGGCGTGCTTGTGCGCATGCGTGAAGGGGCTGTGTGTGGGGGAGTGTGGTCCAGGGTTGGGGGGTAGATCTGTCTCTGCGGTCCGGTCCGGCTCAGGCCACAGACCGGCACCAGGCCGCAGATTGGGGGTTGGGGACCTCTGCTCTAGGTAATAGTTCACAAAATGGCCTGGAAGAATTGAGCTTAAATAGTACAGAACTGAAGGCAGAGCTGAACCTGTATTATATGAAAATCATCAAATACAATTTGATCCTTATTTATAGCAGTTTAGACAAGTAAAGCATAAATACATGGACTTTTAGAATAGCATGTGTTGCTCTCCTTAGGTCCACTGTTCCATTTTGTATGTATGTGTTTGTATTGCATATTCTAGTAAGAATACAAAGGATTGAGTTAATTAATACACTCTTGTTTTTCATATTCTTAAAGGTAGGATGATTAAGAGTTATTGAAATTATAATTTAGAGTAAACTACATTTGTGGCATGCTGCCATCCAGAGTTATGTTCTGTTGTTTAATGTTAATTTAACAGAGCACTGAGTATTCCTTATTCCCAAAATGCTGCATTAAAAATGCAATTCAGTTTGTATAAAGTCCATTGTTCTTGAGTAAGAATACATAACAAACATATGGTAAGCCCTGTTCGAATTTCTGGAGTGCTTAAAGAACATTAGATGATTTTACTGAATGTATGAATTCTAAACAAGCTTAGTAAATTGAAAGAAAAATGTTTTTAAGATATAAATACACAAATAGTTGAAATGGTAAAATAGACTGTACTTTCCCAGTTTTTCATCCTTTTATGCCTGTACATACATCTTGGCTGGTTTGTGGGTTCAGTTTTCTGTGTGTTCTATTTTTATGTTTTTCTTGGTAATTTTGCGTATTTTTGTGGGGATTTGAAAGCATTGTACAAAACCTATTTGTGAGATGAAATTGCAACATGTTTTTGTATTCTTTCCCCTTTGCCTCATTACTTTGTTTTATTTTTCATCATCTTGCTTTCTGCACTGAATGACACAGCTACTAGCTGGGATGATATCAGAGCCTGCTTTTCTTTCTGAGTATACTGTCTTTGCTTTGGATCCCACCAAGCGACCTAAGCCACAGAGTGGGAGTGTGGTGAGTCCCTGCGCCTGCTCGCTCTGTCCATTAATATTGAGGAGCTGACCGGGACAAACAGATACTCTAATTCTAGCAGGCAAAATCAATGCTGCTTTTTGTGTATACTCTCACTAAAGCATACTAAGTGCTGTATTGCTAACTTTGCATTAAATCTTCAGGCACATTTTTGTTTAACACATAGGGTGCTTGGTAACAATGGCTTTATTTAACATAAAAAATAACATTGCTTTGATTACACATGCTTAAAAAAATTAGTACATACTGTGTTTTTAGAGTTATGTAGCCTAGCTCAGGATAGTTGTATCTTATTCTTTTGAATTCAAGAAAGATAACTTTCTCTACCTTCTTTTTCTTAGTGCAGCAAAACTAGCAAAGAGGTTTTTTGTGCTTTAAAGACTGTCAAGTTTTATTTAACATTCACTTTCTTGGGCTGCTTCAGTCCATAAAAGTTTATGCAAATTTGCTGGTTTTCAAGGTGCCAAAAGGATTTTTGTTGCCTTTTTTCTTTTTTTCTTTGGCGTTCTGATATACCTGGAGTGGTGAAAAACAATTATTTACTTGAACTACTGTAATTCTGCAAAGCGGTAATGTATGTTCATTTAGAGAACTGTTACAGGTCAAATGATGCAAAACTTAGAATTGTTTTTCCCTCCTAAGCTCCTACTATGTTGGCCAAAATCCTATTTCTTGCTTCTCGTGGTATAAATCTCTGTATAGTATTGCTGCTAGTTAAAAAGTTGAAGTTTGTACTTCTTGTCACAAACCAAATTATGGGACTGATATGCAATGAGAAAGACATGTGCGTTTTTTTTAAAACTAGAGGTAATTTATGCTGTTAAACATATACAGTGGTGCCTCCCTTAGTGACATTAATCCATGCAGCAAAAATAGCTGCTAAGCGATTTCGTCGCTAAGCGATATTAAAAAGCCCATAGAAACGCATTAAAATGCAATTAATGCATTCCTATGGGCTTAAAACTAACCTTTAAGCAAAGATCCGCCTTAGCGCCACCATTTTCGGTGCCTCTAAAGCGAGGAATCCCAGAAAACAGCGGGTGGCCATTTTGTTTACCTGGCGGCCATTTTGAAACCACCAATCAGCTGTTAAAAAATCATCGCTTTGCGATGATCGGTAAGCAAAACAGGGAACCGATCATCGCAAAGCAAAATTCCCCCATAGGGAACATCGCAAAGCGATCGCAAAAGTGATCGTAAAAAGTTCGTCGCTATGCGGTTTCGTCGCTAAATGGAGCGGCTGTTAAGCGAGGCACCACTGTACTGGTGAGCCTAATAGGATTTGGGTCATTATGTTTCATTTTTTATTGTTTCATGCTCTGAGTATAATTATTGCTTCTTGTTTGTTGAGGACATTCTGTTCCATAATGATTGACAATAGTAGAAGCATGATTACTTCATCCTAATCACTATGTTCAGTTGGTGCCCCATTAAGTTAGAATAAGCAGATGAAGCCAAAGTTATGTGTAGTGGCTCAGACCAGCTAACCATGTGATCCGCTGGTAATTAAACTCTAGATTGCATTGACAAAAGCAATATTCTGGCATTGGATGTACAGTGCGTGTAACATTTGCATACTATTGGTCCTAAATAAATATGGTAGAAAAGAAGGTACGTTTCCCACATGTTGCTTTTTCTTATAATAATAATAATAATAATAATAATAATAATAATAATAATAATAATAATAATAATAATAATAATAATAATAATAACAACAACAAAAACAACAACAACAACAACAACAACAACAACAACA